ACCCGAAAGCAGAAGTGCCCAAAAGCTTTTAGATGATCGGACATAGATGATTTTGTAGCCTTTGAAAAGCGCTATCGATTCGTTAATACCAAAACACCTCCGTTTTCCTATGGACTATGAGTACACTGCTATTCCCTACGAAAGAATTTGATCTTTAAAAATCACATGAACATTTTTTCTGGTATTACTCGATCAATAGAGCTTTTCAAAACCTACAAAATCTTCTATGTTCAGTCATCGAAAAAGTTTGGCCACTTGTGCTTTCAAAAACCAAACTATTTTCGATAGCTCATTTTTTAGTCAAAATGCATACTTGTTATGTCTTGTAAAAAGAAAAGGTCCGCATTTTTGGAATGAACATTTTTTTTTGTATTAACTAATCGATAGAACTTTTCAAGTGCTACAAAATCCTCTATGTTCGGTGATCGAAAAAGTTTGGCCACTTGTGCTTTCGAACATCAAACTATTTTCGGTAGCGGATTTTCCGCTCAAAATTCATGTTTGCTGTATTTTGTAAAAGAAAAATGTTCGTATTATTGGAATGAACAGTTTTTTTGATATTAACGAATCGATAGCGCTTTTCAAAGGCTACAAAATCATCTATGTCCGATCATCTAAAAGCTTTTGGGCACTTCTGCTTTCGGGTAGGAAACTATTTTTAGTAGCTCATTTTCCTCTCATAACTCATGGATGTTGTATTTTGTGAAAGAAAAATGTTCCCATTGTTGGAGTCAACATTGTGTCTAATGCTAACGAGTCCATGGAGCTTCTGAGACGTTACAAAATCATTTAGTTTTAACGATAAACTACATTTTCACACATGTGATGTCGAGTAGGCAAGCATGGATGAATTACCATTGTTGCCACTTAACATGTGTTCGATACTATGCGGGAAAGGAGATCTGCGTCATCAGCGGAATGAATATTTCTAGTTATATGATCTACTAGGAAGAACGTACTATGGTTTGCGAAATGGTGGACTTCCAATTCGAAATTGGTTGCAGAATAAAAACATCTTAGACCATGACATTTTAAGCAGTGCAAGTTTTGAAGCGGTATGCGTGACTTCCTTGTTTAAATGGAGATTTTTAGAACGGATAGGATTTTTCTTCGTCCGAGTTACAAAGTTTCTAGTAATTATGGACAAATTTTACAGTCTATTTAAGTTAACTGTGTCTCAGTAGGGTACAGTAACTCATTCATCTATTTATTGCTGTTAGCATAAAATGTCTATTAAAAGCTAGATGCCTAGTGTGGATCACACAGGGGAAACGGCGGACTTTTGGATTTGAAGTTACTTTGAGCTACTTTAAGCTACTTGTTCCTACTTTGGTCTACTTGGGTGGTACTTTGAGCTTCTTCAAGTAGTCTACTTTGACGTACTTTGACGTACTTTTCTACTTCAAGTCCGCCGTTTCTCCCTTGGTGGGTCACTGTCAAACATAGCTTTACAAATGGCACAGAGATCCATTGGAATCATTCGCATCTGTTGGAAGTATTGAAGAGACCGTGCATTCCAATCGCAAACAAGTCGTAATCGATAGTGATTGCGTATTGCAATCAGTTAGGTTAAAAACTTCATCTATCTAGATGAAAGAGGCACAAGACGCACATGAGTAAGGAAAATGAAAACGCCTGTGTATCGAAAAGTAGAAACTAAAGAAACGGTATTTTCCTGCCACTGCAGACATTTTCTTAACTTCAAGAAGGACACTCAGCGCTTGCTCTGTGGTGTAACTGACGTGTAAAACTGGGGATGTATGGATGACAGCTGGAAAGTAAACCGTTTCAACGTGTAAAAGGATCCATAAAATGTGTTTTCAGCTACTTTCTATCCTGTTCGTTGAGGTTTTTTTCTAAAACTGTGCCGATTGTATTCTGAAAGAAACCAAGCACACGCTTCACGAAGTAATAAAGATACTTACAAGGTTTTTAGTACGAAAACTTTCTATAGGGCCGCAAATATAACATTAAGAACCATGGCAATGTTAGATCATGGTACTATATACAGAATTTTAGCATCGCTTCTTCCATTAAAATATTCACGTCCCATCACGTCGCCAACCAGGTCCAAACTCATTCCATAAATCTCCGACTTCGATTAAATACACATACATAGAAAAGTTTTACAAGCTTCCACACCGAGGAAAACCAAATGCCATCAAAATGTGTCCAATTCTACAAATGAGCTGCTTCTTCGCATGTTTTCTTCATTTCGTTTCAATTGAAAGCTGCCAAAGCGAAATCTTACGATGGTTCCATACAACCTATATGGACCTCCACAATTCTTTTATAAGATGTCCAAATCTTATAAAAGTCAACAAAACAGTGATATCGTGCTCATCGCTAAGCGTTCAACAGAACTAATGAAAATACCTCCCATTTACACACCAAAAATAACGCTACAATAAAAGCACTCCGAATTAATTTCAGTGTTTGCAATACAGACAATATACATCCGGCATACTCACTCTGATATCAGTGATAAACGACACCACAACATTTCATCCCTACTCGTCCCATCAAACCACATCAGACAATATAACCAAATTGTTAACATTCTCAAAAATCCACATCCACGAAGAGTCTTTACGCCTATTCAGCATCTCCAAAACCCAATCTAACTTCCAAACTATTTTATGTGTAGCTTTTGAAAATCTCTATCAATTGGCTAAAACCAGAAAAAATGTTCATTCCAATAATACGAACATTTTTCTTTTACAAAGTACGCCAACCACGAACTTTAAGAGGAAAATGAGCTACCGAAAATAGTTTGGCATTGAAAAGCCTAAATAGCCAAATGTTTTTGATGGTCGGACATAGATGATTTTGTAGCCTTTGAAAAGTGCTATCAATTCGTCAACACCAGAAAAAATGTTCATTCTAATAATGCTGACATTTCTGCTTCTCAAAGTACAGCAATCATCAGTTTTGAGAGGAAAATCGGCTACCGAAAGTAGTTTGGTGTTGGAAAGCACAAGTGGCCAAACTTTTTCGATCACCGGACATAGAGAATTTTGTAGCACTTGAAAAGTTCTATCGATTCATTAATATCAGAAAAAATGTTCATTCCAAAAATGCGGACTTTTTCTTTTTACAAGATATAACAAGCATGAATTTTGACTGAAAAATGAGCTATCGAAAATAGTTTGGTGTTGGAAAGCACAAGTGGCCAAACTTTTTCGATCACCGGACATAGAGGATTTTGTAGCACTTGAAAAATTCTATCGATTCATTAATATCAGAAAAAATGTTCATTCCAAAAATGCGGACTTTTTCTTTTTACAAGATATAACAAGCATGAATTTTGACTAAAAAATGAGCTATCGAAAATAGTTTGGTTTTTGAAAGCACAAGTGGCCAAACTTTTTCGATGACCGAACATAGAGGATTTTGTAGCTTTTGAAAAGCGCTATTGATCGGGTAATACCAGAAAAAATGTTCATGTGATTTTTAAAGATCAAATTCTTTCGTAGGGAATAGCAGTGTACTCATAGTCCATAGGAAAACGGAGGTGTTTTGGTTATTTGCTGGAAGTATTGGAAAGTGATTGGAAACCCTTCACAATTTGGTATCAAAATGATCGTCTCAATTTGCCCTTTCATTTCTTAAGCGATGAGAGTTGATTGTAAGATAAAAACCCAATGGGCCGATTTGTGGTCTTATCCGCCCCCGTCCTTTAAAACTCAATTGCCGGTTTTTGGATTCTAGCCGAATGACAGCTTGTTTAGAAAGTCTTATTGGAAATGTTTATCGAGGAGTATTTCATTGCAAGATAATTTGTTGAAAAACATTACACTCAAAGTTTTTTCCTGACGAAATGCTTTAATAAAGAAATCTACAGGTGTGAGTGTGGGATCTCGGTGTGAGTGCACATGGAAATGAGGGTGTTCTTTTTAACCACATCCACATCCATACCCACAATTATTACTGACGCCAAAATAGGTGCTTCTTTCCGAATAATAATGCCGACATGACACCCATAGTTTCAATTACTGTGTGTAAAGAGACGCGCATGAGTCGTAACTTCACGCCACGACGCTGAACTAAAAAGCTAATTGTGTGGAGAGAAGCGCTTTTCCCTAATGGCTATTCATGATGACAGTTTTAAGTAATAGAATAAGAAAAAGGGAAATGCGACATTAATTGTTAAACCAATATGGTTGACCGTATCAAAAAGGTAATGAAGAAAAAATAAATTTCGGCTTTTTGCCGTAGTTACAGGAAAGTATAGTCTTAATTCAAAAATTTGAATTCAAATTAAATTTAATCTTTCGCTTTTTTCCCGTAATTATATAAAAGTCGTTTTTTTGTTGATTTTCAAATCTGGACCCGAATTAGGAGTCTCATGATTGTATTTGAATTATGTGAATCATAACCATATGGAGCATGTGTATCAATTAAACGCGAATTAACAGTATTTGTTTTACTTATAATACAAGGATATGAGGAATCTGAATCAAATACCCGAGTATTGCTTGTGTTTGTTTGAACATATTTATTGTCATATGTAGAATATAATTCAGTTAAACGAGTATCCGCAGTATTTGTATTATAAGAATTGTTATTGCGATGCATTTTATGTAAAATATCAATGATGAATTCGTTTAGTACTTTTGCTTAGTTTGATTAGATTTTTCAGTCTACAAAACAAAAAAATATCTTTTTACTTTCAGCGTGAATGCCTAACTTAAATATCATTTCACATTGATCAACATAAACGTCGATTTCTAGGCTAATCGATATGGAAAGATTCATTTTATGGCTCTAAAAGTTATAATAGAATTTAGTTCTTCTATTAAATATGAAAATATTCTACCCACTATAGCAGTAAAATGCAAAAATTGCGTTGTTCTTTCAACATTGTTATATTAACAATTAAAAAAAATTTATGTAATAAAGCAAAAAGCAGTTGTGTTGTGTAGTAGTTAATTGAATTAGTTCGAATAAATTCTGCTGAAAAGATAAAAGCTGATATTTATATTAAAAGAATTTTATTATATTACTTCATGATCCGGCAAGTTGAAGTTATTACGAATGAAATGACAATGTATATGTATGAACAGAAAGTTAACTTTGTTTTTAATGTATTTTGAATTCATTTGGATCAAATTATCTAACTTTTGATTTGTATTCATGAATGTTTTAGCTGAAAAGCAGTGTTTTGTATCAATTACGATCTTAAAAAATATTTCCTTTTAAATGAACTGGAAAAAAAATATATGACTTCTCGATTCTTAGTAAGAGCCGTATAATAGGCATCAACCATTTTATACTACAATTTAAATTAAACTGGAGATAAAAAGATTATTTTATATTAGCAGAGATATCTACTAGTCTCAACAATTTTCCAAAAGAAAAGAAAATTTTAATTGTAATAATGGAACATATGACTGTTAATATAGGAATTTTCCCTATCGCTATGTTGGAATTTTCCTAGTATCATTTTATTCTCGATATTGGCTTTCTCCTTCTACTTTATCTTCTGCTTGGATTTATCCAAGGGGGAAGAAGCGGATCCTGCATCCCATGGATCCTAGAATCCAAAAGGATCCACTTTTTTCCCTTGTAGAATCTAAAAGGATCCGAAAGGATCTATAGAATACAAAAGGATCCATAGGATCCATGGGATACAGGATCCGCTTTTCCCCCCTTGGGTTTATCCAACATGGTTGTTATATATAGATCGATATCATCATCTATGTAGTCAGATCTATTTCTCTTTTTCTCTTCTCGTTCTTTTCGTGTTCTTTGTTTGTTTCCAAGTGTTTTCTGAAATACATGGTGTCAAGTGTGTACGAAATAAATCGAACTCACTTTAGGCACATAAAAACAAAACTTGCAGATTTACAATAACGAAGAAAAACAAAAAATAGACAGAGAAAGAAACATCATAAGCAATAACATCATAAACATAGACTTGAGAAACTCATATTAATGAATTGAATTATCTTAATGATAATTCAATTCATTAATATGAGTTTCTAAAGTATATGTTCATGATGTTATTGTTTATGATGTTTCTTTCTCTGTCTATTTTTTGTTTTCATTTGTAACATCTAATCTTGTTTACTGGTTGAAAATGATCGTATAAGATCGAAATTCCCATATTAATAAAATTTTGCATTAAGTTTCTACATTTGTTCTCATTGATTAAACTAACTGAATTAAATCTCATGTTCAATTTCTTTCATACATATAATATGACGAAGAATTTTGATGAACTGGTTCGTTTTTTGTGTTTATTGGGTAATAATTAGTTCCATATAAATGAGATTGTAGTGATTAACTATTCGACTTTTATGAAAAAAGTAACTACTTCTTGATAATAACCTAAAAGATGATTCGTAAGATCCCTTAACAACTTTATCAGAAACCGGCGACCGATAAAATTTTAATTTTTCAATTTAGGCATCTTTAATGAAAGGTCTAGTCAAACCATAGTTAAATCCAAAATATTAGATCTTTCTGACTTGCCTGTAAAAAATTTCAAAGTGTACAAGTGACACATTTCTCGACATATGACCGAAAATTCAGGTTTTTTAGAGCGTTCTTAGCATTTTGCACTTTTCTCTGCGCTCAATCATTCGCTCGAGTTCGGAGATGTTTCAAAAGATATAGAAGTGTTTTCACATTCATACGTACGCTTATGCACACACACACACACACAGATTTTCATGTAGACATCTGAAGACTTCTTGCCGTCCACATGTCAGAGTTGATTCGAAGTTTTAGTGTATCTTACGATTTCGTATGTACATACGAACCGTAAGCGTACAATTAAGCGCAGGTCTGACCTGGCATCAGCGCGCAAAGATAACATATATTTAATTGTAAGGTTTTTCATTGAAAATCATGACAATATTTTTTGGAGTATGTTTCGACTATTAGGGGCAATAATGTTTACTTTTTGTGAGCTAGCTGCACTAAAATAATTCCCTCTACACGCTGGGTTCTTTATGGATTTTTTAATACTTCGATGCAGCTTTGGTAAGGGTAATAATTTATTCGATGACTTCTACAGCTGTTCATCTAACGTATGTCATGCTTTTTCGTTTCCATCATTGTATTTTTCTGAATTATGCTATATAAGGTCGATAAACAACCAACTCTTACATGAAACAAAACGAACCACCATTCGTAGCAGTAATTCTTGCTCTCACCACTAAAAATAACGTTGCCTAGCGTCTCTTTCTCCAGAATTATTTCAGCGAAAGTATGGGTGGACCAGTGAAATGTTTCCTTCCCGATACAACATACCATAAAATGCTGAATCCAGCGAAGGAAACAAACAGTACACTGGCATAATTCATACTTGAAGCCGTGATAGGTACCGCTGTTGGCATCGTAAATATCACGATAGCCAGAATAATCCAGAGGATCGTGATAATATTAATGATATAGCCGAATTTACCAAGATGAAAAGGAGCACTATCGACTAAATGACGTCCTCGAAGGAGAAGTATGAAAATAGGTAATGCGTACGAAGCAGAAAGGCATATTGTAGCTACGCCGGTAAAGGCGTTGAATGCAGCTGATGAGCCGAGATAAATGAGGCCGAGAAGACCCTGGATCAAAGTTGAGAGTAATAAAGCATGAAGTGGCACATCGTATCGTTTGTTTATTTTTGACCAGATACTCGAACCTGGTACCGCACCGTCTCGACTAAATGCGTAAAGGCATCGAGAAGCGGCTGTCAAGGAACCGATTGCAGCGAAAAATTGAATACCAATGAGAAGAAGCAAGAGACCAAATCCACCACCTGCTGAACCTGTCGCGGTCATGAAGAGATATCCGATTGGTTGACCGGTTGATATGGAGAGTAGTTTATCAACATCGGGCATAACAAAAAGAATGGGGATGAGATAAATGACACCCGTAATTCCAGCTGCGACAACAGAAAACACCATCGCTTTCGGCACCTCTCGCTCTGGATGTTGAACTTCTTCGCACATGGCTGCCACCATACCGTAACCAGTGAGGGTATAAGCAGATTGAAGTAACCCGACGAAAAAAGCCCATCCTGGTGCCCAACCCGCTCTCGTTGCATCGAACTCAGTAAATACATATACCGCACTTCTTCTTCCTGCCTTTGCCATAGTCAAAATAGTAACCACTATAATCAGAACAGATGCACCCGTCCAAAAAACACATACGGTATTGATAAATTCCAAGTATTTTGAGGCTAACATGTTAATTAACAACGCTACGAGCAGTACAGCCCAGTACATCAATACGACATGCCAAGCATTCGGAATATAAGCTTCATTCCAAAGTCCAATAGCAGACAATATTAATTGTCCGCCCGAAAAACAAATCGATGTGGTCACTGTCCAATTTCCAACAAGGCCTACCCATCCCGTTGTCCAAGAAGCAATAGGTGCCCATTTCTTGTTTGCTAACATTGCAGACCAATAATAGACACCACCTGAGGTCGGATATGCTGAGCAAATTTCGGCTAGACTTGAAGCAATACATATTGAAATAATAGTGAGTAATATCCAGCCGTAGAAGATCGTCACTGGACCGCCATCCTTGAGTCCAATAGAAAGAGTCACCGACTCACCGCTAGGCACAGCCATAATCGCAAACGACAGCCCAAGTACAGAAAAGAAGGACAACGAACGAGGTAATTCAGCTTTGTATCCCATGGCAGTAAGTTTAGCATCTGCCTCTTCGGAGGCAACGTCTTTTTCGTTATCCATTGTTGACATAGTGTCAGCGTTTTCAGGAACGAGAAGCTCGAGCGATCTTTCAATAGTGAACGACATTCATAGGTTTGATTCGTGAAAGAAAAATCTCAGGATATTCTAAATAGCTGATGATCTAAAGCAATCACAAATATGACTGTTAACCGTTTTCAAATAAAACGCGACTAAGCAAATGTGAATAACTCTGAAACGCAACCGGTTAATCAGGAATAGTTTTGTGTGACAGAGAGAGTAATGCGCCGGATGTTGGCCTATATAAATAAAAGTTTTTGAGGTTTCTCGAAAATGGAAAAAACGTCTCATAAGTCTTCTCATTATACTCATTCAGTAGTGTTGACACCTGTCGACAACAATAGAATATTTGAATATCCTTAAAAAGATGTGGATGTGAATGTCAATGTAAATGAAGAGAAGATTTACACAGACACCAACCCAGAGTAACATAATTTCAACGTAGTTGTCCGTTAAAAAGCAACTTTTGACTTTTACATGTAAGCTCTTCCAGTTGTAATTGAAATTGTAACAATATAATGGCCTCATAGTGCTCTCCAGCAGGATTCTAGAATGAGTGTATTGAAAAGATTTTTGAGATCCCTACCCATTTCCACAAACTTGAAAAATATTTGATGGCCTAAAAAATACCAGTCTTTCATTCAGATAAATCAATCTTCCTTGCACAAGTCTTTCGATCGAAAAGCCGCTCTCTCATTAGCTGCTTGCGTTCTGCAGCTCTTCAAGTCGATTTCACTAGCAATCTATATTTTTCAAATGGACAATAGGATTACTTAAAAGGATTCGCCTCTTCGCAAGCTGTTCATCAGCAATGTTGACCAAGGAAAAAATGTTATTAAAGAGTGTAGTCTCCCACAGAAACGATTAGCCATCCATCCTATATCAAGCAGGCTAAATCGTTTTTGTGAGCAACGTGCAGATTATCCACTGAATAGAGCTTCAGCGCATAATGTTTTGTAAAATTTTGTATCTTCGTGAAACAAATTGGTGAATCGTTAAGCTTTAGAGGTAAAGATAACTCTGAGACTCTACAGAATACAAGAAAAACTGAAAAATGGCAGTAATTAACTATGCTTAAAGAAATTGGTACGTACCTAGACTAAGATCCTCGGTTTTATTACATGTTATGCTCACGCTGGCGTTTTATAAACTTCTATCCATCATAGCTCTTTTTTCAGTTATTTACGACTGCAAAAAAAGATAAAAGAGAGCAACAAGCAATCTTTGGTCACATGGTGCATATAACAAATAAGTGACGGAAAGCTACAGGTGAGATAGCGAGATGGGTGAGAACGAAAAGACTAAGAACTAGCACCAAGTTCAAGGACAGGATGAAGTGAGTCAAGAAAATCATGACAAGTTTTGACCTTGCTTAAAGATCTAATCAGATGGTTATGAGTATTTATCTGATCAAAATGATTCAGAGATCATAAACACCTTGTTCAACCGACATAAACCATACTTGGCTAAATTTGAGCAGAAGATTTTGCTGAATACAATGAGACCGAACTGATTCATTCGAAAATTTTTTATTCCCTGACTGAAGAGAGAGTCATATGAAATTAAATGAATATGTGTGTTTGTTTGCAATCATGTGTACCATTACATGTCCAAGTATATACGTATAAGGATTTTTTATTAAGTTTGACCTCTGAGTTTGTTTTTTTCCATCATGGAAAGACGTTTTAACGAAAATAATGATATAATCATGTGCCCCACAAAATTACCGAAACGTCAGATAAACTATATAAGATGGCTATACTTTGAGCCACACTATGTGTCAATTCGAGTTTACCCTATTTGACACTTTTCCAGCCAGATTTTTCCGTACTTAGTTGAGGCTATCCAGCTACCGACTAATTCGTTATTTTTCACGGTCGAGATAGGTCGCATTCTATCTTGTCGGTTACGAACATTTTCTTTGTTAAACTCGTCGATTATATTTTTTATTTATTAATTGATTTTACACCCAATTTTCAAATTATTTTTGGAATTATTAATTAAGGTTAGTATCTCCAGGTGTTTTTACGTCAGGTGATCTCTTAATTATGCCTCCAAAAAAAGGAGGAACAGGTGCAAGCAAACAAAGGCAACATTTATTTTATTCACAACAAGGTCAAACAGCAGTAGCTGATGTTGGAGGAACAATGGCGATGAGTCATAGTCCAAGAACAAAGGCTTCTACACAAACAAAGGATTCTACAGGAACAANTTTTGATACCAAATTGTGAAGGGTTTCCAATCACTTTCCAACACTTCCAGCAAATAACCAAAACACCTCAGTTTTCCTATGGACTATGAGTCCACTGCTATTCCCTATGAAAGAATTTCATCTTTAAAAATCACATGAACATTTTTTCTGGTATTACCTGATCGATAGTGCTTTTCAAGTGCTATGAAATCCTCTATGTCCAGTGATCGAAAAAGTTTGGCCACTTGTGGTTTCAAAAACCAAACTATTTTCGATAGCTCATTTTTTAGTCAAAATTCATGTTTGTCATATCTTGTCAAAAGAAAAGGTCCGCATTTTTGGAATGAGCATTTTTTCTGGTATTAACCAATCGATAGAACTTTTCAAGTGCTACAAAATCCTCTATGTCCGGTGATCGAAAAAGTTTGGCCACTCGTGCTTTCCGATACCAAACTATTTTCGGTAGCAGATTTTCCCCTCAAAATTTATGTTTGTTGTACTTTGTAAAAGAAAAATGTCCGCATTATTGGAATAAGTATTTTTTCTGGTATTGACGAAACGATAGCGCTTTTCAAAAGCTACAAAATCCTCCATGTTCGGTCATCGAAAAAATTTGGCCACTTGTGCTTTCGAATATGAAACTATTTTCAGTAGCGGATTTTTCTCTCAAAACTGATGATTGCTGTACTTTGTGAAACAAAATGTCAGCATTATGGGATGAACCTTTTTTCTGCTATTAATGAGTCGATAGAGCTTTTCAGAGGCTACAAAACCATCCATTTCCGATCATCAAAAACGTTTGACTATGTGGGCTTTCCAATACCAAACTATTTTCGGTAGCTCATTTTCGTGTCATAACTCCTGGTTGCTGTATTTTGTGAAAGAAAAATGTTCACATTGTTGGAGTAAACATTGTGTCTAATGCTAACGAGTCCATGGAGCTTCTGAGATGTTACAAAATCATTTAGTTTTAACGATAAACTACATTTCCCCACATGTGATGTCGAGTACGAAAGTATGGATGAATTACAATTGTTGCCACTTAACGTGTGTTCGATACAATGCGGGAAAGCTGATCTGGGTCATCAGCGGAATGAATATTTTTAGTTATATGATCTACTAGGAAGAACGTACTATGGTTTGCGAAATGGTGAACTTCCAATTCGAACATTAGTTGCAGAATAAAAACACCTTAGACCATGATATTTTAAGCAGCGCGAGTTCGGAAGCGGTATGCGTGACTTCCTTGTTTAAAGGGAATTTTTAGAACGCATAGGATTTTTCTTCCTTCGAGTTACAAAGTTTCTAGTAATTATGAACAAATTTTGCAGTCTATTTAACTTAACTGTTTCTCAGTAGGGTACAGTAACTCATTCATCTGTTTATTGCTGTTAACATAAAATATCTATTAAAAGCTAGATGCCTAGTGTGGATCACAAGGGGGAAACGCCGGACTTTTCGATTTGAAGTTACTTTGAGCTACCTTAAGCTACTTGAAGTTACTTTCAGCTACTTGAAATAGCTTACTTTGAAGTACTGTTCAACTTTAGATTTACCTGAAGTTACATGAAGTTACTTTAAGCTACTTGTTCCTACTTTGGTTTACTTGGGTGGTACTTTGAGCTCCTTCAAGTAGTCTACTTTGACGTACTTTGAGGTTCTTTTTTACTTCAAGTCCGCCATTTTCCCCTTGGTGGATCACTGTCAAACATAGCTTTGCAAATGGCACCGAGGTCCATTGGAATCATTCGCATCTGTTGGAAGTATCGAAGAGACCGTGCGTTCCAATCGCAAACAAGTCGTAATCGATAGTGATTACGTATTGCAATCAGTTAGGTTAAAAACTTCATCTATCTAGATGAAAGAGGCCCAAGACGCACACGAGTAAGGAAATGAAAACTCCTGTGTATCGAAAAGTAGAAATTAAAGAAACGGAATTTTCCTGCCACTGCAGACATTTTCTTAACTTCAAGAAGGATAATCTGCGCTTGCTCTGTGTGATGTAACTGACGTGTAAAACTGTGGATGTATGGATGACAGCTGGAAAGTAAACCGTTTCAACGTGTAAAGGGGTCCATTAAATGTGTTTGCAGTTACTTTCTATCCTGTTCGTTGAGGTTTTTTTGTAAAACTGTGCCGATTGTATACTGAAAGAAACCAAGCACACGCTTCACAAAGTAATAAAGATACTCACAAGGTTTTTAGTGCGTAAAACTTTCTATAGGGCCACAAATATAACATTTCGAGCGATGGCAATGCTAGTTCGTGGTACTATATAGAGAATTTCAGCACCGCTTCTTCCATTAAAATATTCATGTCCGATGACGTCGCCAACGAGGTCCAAACTCATTCTATCATTCTCCGACTTCGATTAAATACACATACATAGAAAAGTTTTACAAGCTTCCACACCGAGGAAAACCTAATGTCATCAAAATGCGTCCAATTCTACAAATGAGCTGCTTCTTCGCATGATTTCTTCATTTCGTTTCGATTGAAAGCTGCCAAAGCGAACTATTGCGATCGTTCCATACAACCTATATGAACCTCCACAATTCTTTTATAAGATGTCCAAATCTTATAAAAGTCAACAAAACAGTGATATCCTGCTCATCGCTAAGTTTTCAACACAACTAATGAAAATACCTCCCATTTACACACCAAAAATAACACTACAATAAAAACACTCCGAATTAATCTCAGAGTTTGAAATACAGACAATATACATCCGGCATACTCACTCTGATATCAGTGATAAAGGACACCACAACATTTCATCCTTACTCGTCCCGTCAAACCTCATCAGACAATATGACCAAATTGTTAACATTCTCAAAAATCCACGTTCACGAAGAGTCTTTACGACTATTCAGCATCTCCAAAACGTAATCTAACTTCCAAACTATTTTATGTGTAGCTTTTGAAAATCTCTATCAATTGGCTAATACCAGAAAAAATGTTCGTTCCAATAATACGAACATTTTTCTTTTACAAAGTACGCGAACCACGAAGTTTGAGAGGAAAATGAGCTGCAGAAAATAGTTTGATATTGGAAAGCCCAAATAGCCAAACGCTTTTGATGATCGGTCATAGATGATTTTGTAGCCTTTGAAAAGCGCTATCGATTCGTTAATAGCAGAAAAAATGTTCATTCCAGTAAGGCTGACATTTTTGTTTCACAAAGTACAGCATTCATCAGTTTTGAGAGGAAAAGCCACTACCGAAAATATTCTGGTATTGAAAAGCACAAGTGGCCAAACTTTTTTGATAATCGGACATAGATGATTTTGTAGCTTTTGAAAAGCGCTATCAATTGGTTAATACCAAAAAAAATGTTCATTCCAATAATGCGGACATTTTTCTTTTACAAAGTACAGCAAACATGAATTTTGAGCGGAAAATCCGCTACCGAAATAGTTTGGTATTGGAAAGCACAAGTGGCCAAACTTTTTCGATCACCGGACATAGAGGATTTTGTAGCCCTTGAAACGTTCTATCGATTGGTTAATACCAGAAAAAATGTTCATTCCAAAAATGTGGACCTTTTCTTTTTACAAGATATAACAAGAATGAATTTTGACTAAAAAATGAGCTATCCGAAATAGTTTGGTTTTTGAAAGCACAAGTGGGCAAACTATTTTGATGACCGGACATAGAGGATTTTGTAGCTTTTGAAAAGCGCTATCGATTGGGTAATATCAGAAAAAATGTTCATGTGATTTTTAAAGATGAAATTCTTTCATAGGGAATAGCAGTGTACTCATAGTCCACAGGAAAACTGAGGTGTTTTCGTTGTTTGCTGGAAGTGTTGAAAAGTGATTAGAAACCCTTCACAATTTGGTATCAAAATGATCGTCTCAATTCGCCCTTTCATTCCTTAAGCGATGAGACTTGATTGTAAGATAACAACCCAATGGGCCGATTTCTGGTCTTATCCGCCCCCGTCCTTTGTCGTTTGAAAATTTGCTTAATTTTCATCGAATAAAAACGTTATATAATAAATGTTTACGAAACAAGGTCAATAAAAATAATTGATTTATAATGATGTGGGGAAAATATGAGGTGAAAGCGAGTTAGAAGTAATTCTTAGTTACGTTATTTCGTAAATATTTATGATATGATGTAATTATCCAATGATAATTAAAGAAAATTTCAAACGACAAATTTAGCCTCTATTGAATTCAAAATAAGATGTCGACAGATAATCATTATTCGTATATTTCTTATTGGATAAAAAAAAGAGAATTAGTATTCTATTGAATAAAATCATTTGATTAATAGTTGACATGGAAACTAAACGATCTAGTTGTCCGCTCTTAGTTTTATAGAGATCATCATTGAACTGCTTTTGTTTCATATCTTGATATCCATCAATTATCATAGGGAATTATTTCATTTAATTAAATATATTTTTTCTTCTAAACTCTTTCTATTTCTGAACATTGAAAACAAAAACTAGAAAAACAATAGATCAATATTGTTGTCTACGGCAATAGAACATTTAACTGAAGCAAAAAAATCAGTCGGACAATGAATAGTATCTTCGATTGATTTAGTTTGTTTTTCAAATGGTAAGACTAATAAATATTCTAAGTTAACATTCATTGATTTAATTATTTTTTATAAGGTTTGACAAGAATTTTTCAACATAAGTCAATCATCAATAAACAATCAAACAATAAATGACGACAAACTAAGAGAATTCATTGGCTATACCCAGTGAAAAATAATCATGGAAAAAAACGGAAGTAAACGCATTCAGCAAAACATGGAAAGTTACTTTTCCCATGAAGAACACTTTCTATAGTTTGTCGAATGCGTTCATGAGCGACAAGAATAAGCTATGCATCTGAGGGAACGCATTCTTTATCGTTCCACGTTTTTATGGGATGGTTTCTTCTCGGTTCAAAATCGTTCTTCATCTGAAGAGAAAGCTTTCTGAACCGTTCATTTTTGAAACGGTCAGGATCGGATTCCATGAAAATGAGAATGCTTTCTTTGACCTTCTCTCAAGAAATAGTTGAGAATAGATTCTTCGAACTGATGAATGCGCTCCAGACAATCCAACATCATTCTTAGGGAGAAAAGAACGCGTTCTCTGTCATTCTCCTAATTGTCGAATGCTTTCTCGGCAATTCAAAAATCAGTTTTAAAAATATAGAACACCTTCTCGTTCGTTTCGTAACCTACATAAAATTATCCCATTATATTGAGAAAGAATATTGATTAGCTCGAAATGGATTCGTCAGTGTTCTCAAATATATTAAATTTTTTTCTCATTGTTTTCTGCATAAAAAATTATCATCATAACTCTTAGTTCTTTTATCAACACCTGTTTTCAAGGTTGAGCTTTTAGCTACCGATATCGTGACAGTCTTATTTACAATACACTGACAAAAACAATAAAAATAGACACAAGAAAAGTGCAACAATAAGAAGGATTCTAGAAAAATTCAGAGTCGTTCGGCAAACGAGTATACAACAATTCTTCTCTTTGATGAACTTAACAAGCTTTTTCCACAATTTCTATTGTATTGTCCATTTAGTTTTATTACGTCTTAATAGAAACCATCATTTTTTTTATCTAGTAAAGAGAGAATTAGTGTCCTTTCGGTTATTTTCGATATTAATCAAAAAAATCATTTTTTTTAAATTGACTATTCTTTATGAGTAGAGTATATTGATATATACCTGGAGAATTTGCTTGAGTATTCTTATAGTTTCGAATGACACGTACAGTTTAGTATGATGATTGTTATTTAATAGAAAAGATATTGATTTAATATATTTTCAGATAAATAATGGAAGAAGATGAATTTGAAGAAAATGTTGGAAATAACGATGATTTTACTGAAGATATTGTTGCATCGGCTGGTCTTGGTCTTTCACTTGAAAAACGTTTTGAACGTTTAAGTCAATCAGATCGCATTGATCAATTACCGGGTGTTTCAAAAGTTTTGCGACATATTTTGTTTTGCATATATCTCGACTTCAGAAACTGAGAAAATCTTGATTCTTTTTTTAAAAGATGCGCCGTGAAAAATTCTACAAAACCCGTGTAAATAAATCCTTATTAACTGGTTCTGATAGTTTTCCCAAGCTCAATATGAACAACCTCTGTGGTAGTGCTTTGTCCCCGCATGATAAAAATGCTTCGAAGACTTTTTTGTTTAGCAGTAGGGTTTTTTATACAATTTGTGTAGAGCTTTCGACGGTGCATCTTTCAACGAAAGAATCAAGGTTTTATCGTTTTCTCAAGTCGAAATATTTACGAAACAAAAAAGTTTTTCAAAGATTTTTATTATTGGCACTACCATGTGGGTTGTTCATTCTAAGTATGGAAAATATCATTAGAACACGTCAATGGCGATTCGTTCATACGGTTTTTGTAGGGCTTTTCACAGCGCATCTTCTCAAAAAAAAATCACGGTTTTATCATTTTTTAAAGCCGAAATATAAATGCGAAATGAAAAGTTTTACAAACATTTTATTACAACGCCACGCACATCTCCACTTTCAATCATTTTAGAAAAAACCATCACAACAAGGCAATAGAATTTTTTTTTCATACTGCCTATGTAGAGCTTTCAATGACGCGTCTTTCAAAACAAGAATCAAAATTTTATTATTTTCTCAAGTCGAGATATATGCAAGACAAAAAAGTTTCCCACACATTTTTATTTTTAGCACTATCATGTGGATTGCTCATTCCGAGTATGGGAAAAATCATTTGAACACATCAATGGGAATTTGTTTACACAGTTATTGTAGGATCTTTCATCGCGTATCTTTTCAAAAATAATCACGGTTTTATCATTTTCCCAAGTTCAAATATATGCGAATGTCACAAACATTTTACAACACCACTCGCATCTCTACTTTCAATCACCTGAAAAAATCATCATAACAAGATGATAGAGACTTTTTCATATTACTTATGTAGAACTTTCGACGGCGCATCTTTCAAAAAAAAATCAAGATTTTATTGTTTTCTCAAGTCGAGATACATGCAAAACAAAAAAGTCTTCCAAACATTTTTATCATGCAGGGACAAAGCACTACCACAGAGGTTGTTCATATTGAGCTTGGGAAAACTATCAGAACCAGTTAATAAGAATTTATTTACACGGGTTTTGTAGAGTTTTTCACGGCGCATCTTTTAAAAAAAGAATCAAGATTTTCTCAGTTTCTGAAGTCGAGATATATGCAAAACAAAATATGTCGCAAAACTTTTGAAACACCCGGTATATGGATGTTTACGTTATTTAGAATTTGAAGAGCGTATTGGTTGGCTTTATAATTTACAACCATGTGAATTATTTGATGAAGAACGACGAAGATTTGTATCAGCACTTGATCTTTATTTTATTGGTGATATAGGTGATCGATTTAAAATTTCCGTTATATATCCACCGTATTTTTATGTTGGAGCAAAAGTTGGACGAGAAAATGATGTTGATGCTTATTTGTCAAAACGATATCATAATCGATTTTTATCATGTGATCTTGTTGCAAAAGAAGATTTAGGTATGAAAATTGATTATGTTTATATATAATGATAAAACTGAGATAGAAAAAAAAAATCTCTTGTTTCTTTCTATTGACTGGTGCAAATTTTGTAAAATCACCAACATAATATTTTTTCAAGCGAAAAAAAACAAGACATCTCACGCGTTAATTTGATTGAAGCCGGTGTAAAAAAAAAGGTTCAACTCGCTCGATCGTGGTGTGTGTATGAGGAAAACTTCGTTTTTTTCTCTACAAAAGTTGCTTTCGGAAAAACGCACAATACTCTGAAAGACAATTATTTGCATGCATTAAGATTTTTTATTTCTCCAACGAAATTACCTAATGGTTAAAAATGCCACGATCTTCCGTTAAAATAGCACAAGCATTACAAATAAAATACGTTTTTAAAAATGCTAGAATAAGCTTTTCTTTTTTTTAAGATGAAGTTTTTCAAGTCAAGAAAGGAGATCGATGTCCTTAAGGTCTTTTTTTGTCTTTTGAAAGATTGAAAAAAAATAGAAAAAATATGTCTAACTATTAAAAAAAACACACCTAAATTCTTTGATTTGGATCTTCCTAATCATCTCGCTGGTATTCAACGTACATTTATTCGTCTTCGTTTTCATGATATTGATGATTTAATAAAAGCACGTAAAGAATTACAACCAATTGTTAAACGTAATGCTGAACGTGAAAAAGAACAACAATCTCGTCCTGAATTAGCTGTATTAAAACGAGCTACATCATCGAATCCAAGTAGTGATCTTTTGGTTGATTGTCTTTCAAATGCAAATGTTGCTGAAAAACAAATTGATGGTATTATTGAATTATGTGAATTTGATGTACCATATCATATTCGAGTTTGTATTGATTTAAAAATAAATGTTGGCCTTTGGTTTGTATTTATAAATAAACATAGAAAATAATAATAATATTTATTTTATTTTATAATTAGGTATGGTGTTCGTGGTCAATCAAAAAGTGGTCCACAAAATCAACTTGTATTAAAACCAGATTTAATCGAACAACCAGAGCCAATTGTTTTTGCATTTGACATTGAATGTACTAAAATGCCATTGAAATTTCCTACAGCTGCATCAGATCAGGTAAATATCTCACAAAATTGCTACTGTGTTGTTTATTTAATCCAACTCTCACACTGCGATTATTCTTTGTATGCCAAATTCTTCTAATCGTAATGATTATTTCTTATTCCAAAGATGTTCAGAGTATAGATCATAGATCTCTAACATCACTCAACACGTTCAGTTTTACTCCTTTTTCGTTCTTCTCAAAATCAATCTCTAAACGAAGTATTTCATTGTTTTCTCCCACATGGTACGTCCTACCGGGCTTAAATTNTTGGAATGAACATTTTTTCTGGTATTAACGAATTGATAGCGCTTTTCAAAAGCTACAAAATCATCTATGTCCAGTTTTCTAAAAACATTGGCCAGTCGTGCCTTCCAATACTAAACTATTTTTGGTAGCTCATTTTCCTCTCAAAATTCATGCTTGCTATACTTTGTGAAACAAAAATGTCCGCATTATCGGAATGAACATTTTTTCTGGTATTAACCAATCGATAGAACTTTTCAAGTGCTACAAAATCCTCTATGTCCGGTGATCTAAAAACTTTTTGCCACTTGTGCTTTCGAGTAGGAAACTATTTTTAGTAGCTCATTTTCCTCTCATAACTCATGGGTGTTGTATTTTGTGAAAGAAAAATGTTCCCATTGTTGGAGTCAACATTGTATCTAATGCTAACGAGTCCATGGAGCTTCTGAGACGTTACAAAATCATTTAGTTTTAACGATAAACTACATTTTCCCACATGTAATGTCGAGTACGAAAGTATGGCTGAATTACCATTGTCGCCACTTAACATGTGTTCGATACTATGCGGGAAAGCAGATCTGCATCCTCAGCGGAATCAATATTTCTAGTTATATGATCTACTAGGAAGAACGTACTATGGTTTGCGAAATGGTGGACTTCCAATTCGAACATTGGCTGCAGAATAAAAACACCTTAGACAATGATATTTTAAGCAGCGCAAGTTTTGAAGCGGTATGCGTGACTTCCTTGTTTAAATGGAGATTTTTACAACGCATAGGATTTTTCTTCCTCCGAGTTACAAAGTTTCTAGTAATTATGAACCAATTTTACAGTCTATTTAAGTTAACTGTTTCTCAGTAGGGTATAGTAACTCATTCATCTGTTTATTGCTGTTAGCATAAGATATCTATAAAAAGCTAGATGCCTAGTGGGGATCACAAGGGGGAAACGGCGGACTTTTTGATTTGAAGTTACTTTGAGCTACTTAAAGCTACTTTAAGCTACATGAAGTTACTTTAAGCTACTTGTTCCTACATTGGTCTACTTGGGTGGTACTTTGAGCTCCTTCAAGTAGTCTACTTTGACGTACTTTGACGTATTTTTCTACTTCAAGTCCGTCGGTTCCCCCTTGGTGGATCACTGTCAAACATAGCTTTGCAAATGGCACAGAGATCCATTGGAATCATTCGCATCTGTTCGAAGTATCGAAGAGATCGTGCGTTCCAATCGCAAACAAGTCGTAATCGATAGTGATTGCGTATTCCAATCAGTTAGGTTAAAAACTTCATCTATCTAGATGAAAGAGGCCCAAGACGCACATGAGTAAGGAAAATGAAAACGTCTGCGTGTCGAAAAGTAGAAACTAAAGAAACGGTATTTTCCTGCCACTGCAGACATTTTCTTAACTTCAAGAAGGATAATCAGCGCTTGCTCTGTGTGATGTAACTGACGTGTAAAACTGGGGATGTATGGATGACAGCAGGAAAGTAAACCGTTTCAATGTGCAAAGGGGTCCATTAAATGTGTTTTCAGTTACTTTCTATCCTGTTCGTTGAGGTTTTTTTTCTAAAACTGTGCCGATTGTATCCCGAAAGAATACCAAGCACACGCTTCACGAAGTAATAAAGATACTCACAAGGTTTTTAGTGCGTAAAACTTTCTATAGGGCCGCAAATATAACATTTCGAGCGATGGCAATGTTAGTTCGTGGTACTATATAGAGAATTTCAGCACCGCTTCTTCCATTAAAATATTCATGTCCGATGACGTCGCCAACGAGGTCCAAACTCATTCCATCAATCTCCGACTTCGATTAAATACACATACATAGAAAAGTTTTACAAGCTTCCACACCCAGGAAAACCAAATGTCATCAAAATGTGTCCAATTCTACAAATGAGCTGCTTCTTCGCATGTCTTCTTCATTTTGTTTCGATTGAAAGCTGCCAAAGCGAAATATTACCATCGTTCCATACAACCTATATGGACCTCCACAATTCTTGTATAAGATGTCCAAATCTTATGAAAGTCAACAAAACAGTGATATCCTACTCAACGCTAAGTTTTCAACACAGCTAATGAAACTACCACCCATTTACACACCAAAAATAACACTACAATAAAAACACTCCGAATTAATCTCAGTGTTTGATATACAGACAATATACATCCGGCATACTCACTCTGATATCAGTGATAAACGACACCACAACATTTCATCCTTACTCGTCCCATCAAACCTCATCACACAAGATGACCAAATTGTTAACATTCTCAAAACTCCACCTCCACGAAGTGTCTTTACGCCTATTCAGCATCTCTAAAGTCCAATCTAACTTCCAAACTATTTTATGTGTAGCTTTTGAAAATCTCTATCAATTGGCTAATACCAGCAAAAATTGTTCATTCCAATAATACGAACACTTTTCTTTTACAAAGTACGTCAACCATGAACTTTGAGAGAAAAATGAGCTACCGAAAATAGTTTGGTACTACAAAGCCCAAAGAGCTAAACGTTTTTGATGATCGAACATAGATGATTTTGTAGCCTTTGAAAAGCGCTATCAAATCGTTAATACCAGAAAAAATGTTCATTCTAATAATGCTGATATTTTTATTTCACAAAGTACAGCAATCATCAGTTTTGACTGGAAAATCAGCCACCGAAAATAGTTTGGTATTTGAAAGCACAAGTGGCCAAACTTTTTCGATCACCGGACATAGAGGATTTTGTAGCTTTTGAAAAGCGCTATCGATTCGTGAATACCAGAAAAAATGTTCATTCCAATAATGCGGACATTTTTGTTTCACAAAGTACAGCAAACATGAATTTTGAGTGGAAAATCAGCCACCGAAAATAGTTTGGTATTGGAAAGCACAAGTGGCCAAACTTTTTCGATCACCGGACATAGAGGATTTTGTAGCACTTGAAAAGTTCTATT